GTGTGTGTGTGTGTGTGTGTGTGTGTGTGTGTGTGTGTGTGTGTGTGAAAATATCAAAGAACAAATTTAATTAAAAACAAATCTTTAACTGGGGAACACACTAGCAACTCTGGCCAGTTTTATTTTTAAAGTTTAATGTTCTGGTCTACACAACAAAAGAACCACAGCAGTGAGATCCCTCAAGACAATGGAGGAAAAGATGGAGAGGATGTGTAAGAGGGAGAAGCAGATGCCAGCATCTGAGATTTGGAGCAGGAAGAGCGTGAAGGCCTCAGAGTGAGAAGGAAGTGAAGGGAAAATGCTCCAGCAGTGGGCTCCTAAGGGGTGCAAGCAGTGAACTCGGCTATCCCCAAGGCTGTGAGTTCTTTCCAATCCACTATGATACTCACCTACCTCCTGCAAACCCAACACAATTAAGTGTTAAGGGGACATCAGCAGAACACGGTTCTATGAAGGTCAACAGACAGCTGAAAGGTCATTCGAGTAGAGCTGTGGGACAGAAGCCCAACTGAATTTAAAAGGCCAGTGAGGTTGCATTACTGCTTTGTGGTATTTGTTTAAATATATTCTCATCATTCACTGCTGTTGCTTTCTTTGTTTTCTGAGAAAGAGTGTCACTTTGTAGGCCAAAATAGCCTCAAACTGGCAGTGATCCTCCTGCCTGAGGCTGCTAAGTGCTGGAATTAAAGGCATGAATAAGCCACTATACCTGGCTCTCAGAGAACAGTTGATTCAGAAAGCCAGCTTACTCTTTTGGCTACCACATTTTCACTTATAAACAACTTTGAATCTAGTTTAAAACAAACAAACAACTGTCCCACTGTTCAGAAACTATCAGCACTTACTGCATATTTGGTGCTAGAGCCTTGAGTTCAGCCTTACAGTGCATTTTTGCTGTAGCATTTGGGACCCTGACTAGTTGGCCTCCCTTGTTCCTTTCAAATCATGTGCATATACATAGGCACATAGACACAAAGTCCAAGTGCTACACACAGTCACTCCTATTTGTGACATCTCCATAGCCTCAGGGAAGATGCCTTAGCTCCAAAGCTTAAGTGTCAACATCTGTCTGACATACTACTCAATTTCTCCAATAAATGCTACTAGTCTTTAATGAAATAAAAGTACAGGTTTATGAAAGTTGGTGTTTAGCTTCCTTTCTGCAGTAATGGCTCTGACAGTTAATGGCCCCACGAACTATCTATTCCTTTCATTGAATGACAATGCCCCTCAGAGACTCATATATTTGAAAGCTTGGTATCCAGTTGTCGGGACTGTTTGGGATGTGTTTGTTAAAAGCTGCTAACCAAGCCAGGGAAAACAACCTGGAACAAAACTAGACATTTTGTACACCTTCTCCAAGCACTTCTGAGCATTTGTTACAATTGCAACCATTCACTTTCTTCCTAACCATTCAATAACAACTCAAGTGTGAACATGCTGCCCGGACAGGGCGGGAGCCACTGTTCCAATGACACCTTGCTGGGCAGAATCATGGCTCCAACAGCAATGGCTCTAGGAACTACCTATTTAAACAAACAATGGAAAATGATGGCAAGGGAAGACAAATTGTATTTCTTTTAGCAATTCATCTTCTAATTTTGCTTTTAAAATACAAGGATGGTGAGCTGGAATAAATATAATATTGCTCTACAAATTTTATTAAATTTAAAATAATCTTCAAGATTCTTCTGTTCCTTGTACATGTTTATTTACTCAATTATACAGTAGTTATTAGAAATTTTGCTTATAATATATCATAAAACCTAGCAGAAGTGGCAAACCAGGTCATTTTTGTGAGTTGCTCCTTTCATGTTTCCTAATAATGTCCATGAGGTTTGCCCCCGTGACCAGGTTGCTCTGTGTCTGTTTGTCTTTCTGCTGTTCCCTTCTCTTCTGCTCATGAAGGTAAGGAGAGTGTAGCAGCTGTGGGGGGAGAATGGATCCCGTAGGCTGCACTCTTTTGGCAACATCCCAGAAGAGTCTTTTAGAGTTGTTATTGATGAAAGTGATTGCAGTTCCATTCTGACCGAGTCTCCCGACTCTACCAACCTGAAACAAAATGCAAAACGACATTTTCAAGTCTCATTCATTTCGAGAGAAATGAAGACTATCATTAAAGTTATTTAAAAAGCTTGACATTCATTCAGATAAGGGTTCTTCCTTGGTGTGTGTGTATGTGCACTGAATTCAGTCGGGGTGAGCATTACCCATGAGCTATAATCCTAATTATGCTCTTTGGACTTTGTGTTGGACATATTAGTATATTAGTGAGATCAACTTAGAGGGCTGATGCTAACATATACATTGTTTGCTATCTTATTTTTAATGAAACAGCACAAGAGGACTGTTTGTTCTAGCTTTTGTGCCTTGAAATGTTAGATTTAAGCTATTTTGTTTTTACAGAGTTCTCAGTTTGACAGAATTAAATGGACACAAATTTGTCATTCAAATATCAAAATCCACAGCAAGCACAAACTCTACTTGTTTCTAAATACAAAATGAAAATATTCCGAGAAAGTTTTCACAAGAAGGGAATCAGTCATGGCCAACTTCTGCTCATCAATTAAATGTAAAATCTAAAGTCTATGCTTAGAAATATTCAAGTGAGCCAGGTGGGGCTTCATGAACTCATGAAACCTTGACTTCAAAATCAATCAATCAGAGAATAATAAGAGTTAGCAGATGTAGAGAAATTGGAACTCATACATTCCTGAAGAATACGTAAATGTTACTCTGGAAAACAGTCTGGCAGGTAATGAAATGCTAAGCATAGTTACCAAGTAAATGAACAATTCTGATCCTAGGAACTGGCCAACAAGAACAAAAATGTGTGGACAGAAGAATCTGTATACGAGTATTCACAGTAGGGCCACTGAGATTAATAGTAGACATAAAGTAAAAAGTAGAGCTACTGAACTGGTCCACAAGGTGGTGTATCATAAATGGAATATTTTTGGCGATAAAAAATAAAACAAAATTTAAATATACATGCCATAAAATGGGTAAATGCTGAAAACATGCTAAATAAAAGATAAAAAGTTACAGAAGACCACATGTGGCATGATCTCTTTTACATGCAGTGACCATAAATCTACAGAGGCAGAAGGCAGAGTGCAAGTGTTAGTTGGGAATGAGGATGCTTGTGTTTGATCTGGAGTGGGATGACTGCTGATGACATGTGGCATCTTTTTTAGGGTGGTAAACATTTTCTAAAGCTGACTGTCGTTATATCTATACAACTGTATGAATATATTTAAACATTTAGTTGTTTGAATTAACTTTAAATGAATGATTATATCTGGGTAGTGGTGGTGCACACCTTTGATCCCAGCACTTGGGAGGCAGAGGCAGGTGGATCTCTGAGTTCGAGGCCAGCCTGGTCTACAGCGTGACTTCCAGGAGAGCCAGGGCTACACAGAGAAATCCTGTCTTGAAAAAATAAAACAATAAACAAATAATCCCCCTCCAACAACAGCAACAGAAGAGTGAGTTGTTCAGTATCTGAACTGTATCTATTGATAATTTACAATGAGATCTAGTATAGCAGGAAGTGGGGGTGCTTGGGAGGCTGAGGCAAGAGCACCAAAAGTTTGAGGTTAGCCTGATCAATTTGGAAAGACACAATCTCAACATTTTAAAAAAGGGCCAGGAATATGGCTTAGTAGTTAAGTGTTTGCCCAGCAGGCACATAGCCCTGAGTTTAATACCTAGTAAAGAAACAAAAACAGAAAAACAAAACCAAGGCAAAACAAAACAAAAAAACCTCCAATATTTTCTGAATTCTGAGGTAGCTGATGCTATTTAACATCAAATTACTTTCCCCAGAACCTTTCTACCATTAAAAATAAAAAACGGAAACATGGGAATTTCTATTATACTTATCTTTGACTTAGCAGTTCTCTTAAACTTTTTTTTTAAGGTAGTCTTACTATGTTGCTCAGGCTATCCACAAACTTCCAGTTTCACACAATCCTCCTGACTCAGCCTCTCCCACAGCTGCAGCTACTGATTTGACCACCATGTCCATGGCCAGAGGAACTTACTGCATACTAACACTCATAAAAAAATAAGTATGTGAAAGTTACTGCAGCATTCTGAAATAATAAAGCATTAGAAACATAACAGTCAATAAAGGATTTGTTAGGCCATAGCACAGTCACATGATATATTATCTTGCAACAGTTTAAACAGGATAAGGCAGGAAAGTTAGTGAAAACACTCAGGAGCCTGGCCACAGAGGAAGTGCTCCCTCACATCTCTTAACATGTTAGGTCTATTAACATTTATTAAATGGTACCTAGCGAGCATGCTGATGAGAAAATACATCGGAGATAAAGTTAATAAAGCAAGGCAACAGAGCAGTAGGTATGATGTGGTCTCATTTACATATATTGATGAATATGTGTACCTATGCACATGTGTTTATCATTTTTTACTTATCTGACAAAACTTAAAGATAAAACTAAATGGTCAAGGAGGCTGACTGCCAGATGTACTGGTGCACACCTTTAATTCCAGCCCTCCAGAGGCAGAGGCAGGCAGATCACTGTGAGTTTTAATACAGGCAGTACAGACCCTGACTCAAAACAAAAAAAGGAAGGCTTACATCTCATTTCGTGCCCTTTTCTACTGGTAATACTCAACACTCATTCTGTGGTTTAAGAAGTGAAACAATCTAAGACATGGACACAGAACTAGAGAACCAGCTAGCTCCAGAGTCAAGAAATCTTACATCCTCACGAAGCCCAGAGGCGTCACTGGAGTATAGTCATGAAAGCCAGAGAGTCAGCCTTCAGATGGAAGGCTAAGTGACTATAAGCAGCATATTCTAAGAAGCAAAGAAGCTTCTCAATATCATAACTCTTCAGAAAAATTTCTATCCAAAATTATGAAAATTTGAAAGGAAACATTTTATTTGCTCTAAGAGTTCTCTCTGGTAGGATATTCAATTCCTGATTAAGCGTGAGTAAAACTCAAAGCAGCCGTACAGTGCGGACACTGAAAACATTAAATCGGTGGCATCGGAAGGTGAGTCCAAGAGCATCAGAGAAAGGCTGTACTGGATGGTTTGTAAGCGATGCCGGAGAAGGAAGACGGGAGCAGTCAGTGAGATAACACCGCACTAAGCTAGGCTCTGTTTCTACCCGAGAGAGAGGCCATTGTTACTCTTGGCAGCAAAGGAAACAAGTGAAACTTTAAAAGGTGAAAGACTAGGACAAGTAAGGGTATGAAGAGAAGACAAGATTCCTAAAACAACAAGCATTCTAAAGGATCATCTTTACTCTGGCCAGATACAGCAACTTAAAGTGATCTTTTAAAACAGCTTCTTTTTTCCTTGAATATAAAAACCACCAGTGGCTCACTGAAGGAAACAAAAGAAAAAGAAGCAAAAATAAACCAATAATTTAGTGCCTGAACTGTGTCTTAAAGATTTAATTTATTTCTAATTCATGTGTCTGAGTGTCTGTCTGCATCTGTGCAGCATGTGCAGGCTAGTGCCAGCAGAGCTGGAGGAGGGTGCGCAGTCCCCTGAAAAAGAGGTTGCAAATGCTTTTAAGCAGCGCTGTGGGTGCAGGGCACTGAGCCAAGTCCCCTGAAAAGCAACAAGTACTCTTAAACACCAATCCATCTCTCCTGCCACTTAACATAATAAACAAACAAACAAACAAACAAACAACCTCCAACATTGTAGGTTTCACATTTCCAGTTTTTAACATGTATTTAGAACCAAAACTTTTTTCTAAGCATATATATAAGAATATATATGCTCAGAATATGTATAAATATATTTTTAATTTTTTAAAGCTTTAAAAGATTATTTTATGTGTGTGAATGAATGAGCATATATATGTATGTATGTAAGTATGTATACTACGTGCATTCCTGGTACCTGAGGAAGTCAGAAAAGGGTGTCAGATACTCTGGGACTAGACTTGCAGATGGTTGTGAGCAACCATATACGCTCTAAGAACTGAACCAGGGTCTTCTAGAGGATTAGACAGTGTTCTTAACCTCTGAGCCAACTCTGTAGCCCTAAGCATGTGGGTGGACACACACACACACACACATTTTTAATACCAAAAATATGCAATGGTTTCCTCATCCTGACAACGCCTTATTCAATTCTACTCATTAACAAAGCGGCAGGGTATTGACACCCCTTACCTGATGAATATACTCATCCATACTGGAAGGCATGTCAAAATTCACAACCAGCTTGACGTTGACCAAGTCGAGGCCTCGGCCCAGGACCCCTGTGCTCACCACGACCTCATAGTCTCCTTCCAGTAATCCCTTTCCAATAAATCAAAAACATTCATTATTCAGGCCAGGAGTGGTGGTGCATAGCTGTAATCCCAGCACTTGGGAGACAGAGGCCAGCCTGATCTAGAGGAAGTTCTAGAACATAATGAAGCATGTCTAAAAAACAATAAACAGTTAAGAAAATCATTTTTATCTAGAACTTTTTTATGTGGCTTTGTATAATTCTGGATTTTTTTTTTAATACCTCAGTAGTATTTGGCAGAATAGCTTTTGAATAAATAGAAGTCTTGAAAAAATGAATGTAGCTTAAAAAAGCCTCTTTCACCATCATGGAATTTATTTTACTAATTTACTCAAGCAAATCTCTTCCTAAGGTGAGCTTCTGCTCCGCCCCAGACCAAACTGACCTGATTTCTGAAACGGTGGACTGGGAGTTAGCTATCCATTTAGCACAGGTGCTCTAGAGAGCAAGCATATTGCCCCCCTCCCCACCCCGAAGCCTGAGCAAGAGGAACATGAACTTTATGGTCACTGCTTGCCTTGTGCTTCCTGGCACTGAAAACAACTGTTTTATAACCAGCGGGTAGTAGGCTTTCTCTTGAAAAGTGTGGTAAAATAGATTTGGGAGGCAGAGAACACAGAAAACTGAGAACCACCTTCAGTATGTTCCTCCTTTCCACCTGAGATTTCTCTGAGTGGATGGATGTGCTGTTTAGACCTGTGATCTTCTGAACCGCCTCACTCAACAGATCTGCACCAAGTCTGCAGTCCACAAACACTAACACGGGAGGCTTAAAGAGTTTCTGATCCTAGGAGAGAAAACAAGAAATTAAATTATCCATAGAGCGTACTTCTGTGGAAAACTTCTCTGAGACCATTAGCATGAGCTAATTATTGAGAGGTTTACAAATACTGCTAAAAGGAAATAATAATTATTTTATAATATAAAATAAAAAAAATTCTTCTAAAACTAATGTTCTCATTTAAGGATGCACAAACTGCTCTTCTCACTTTTTCTTGTTTCTTTTTGTTGTTGTTATTGTTTTTGTTTTTCTTTTGTTTTGCTTGTGAGACAGTATTCTTCTGTCTAGCCTTGGCTGTCCTGGACTTGCTTTATGGACCAGGCTGGCCTCCAAATCACAGCTATCTGCCTGCCTCGGCCTCCCTGAGTGCTGTAATTAAAGGCATGTGCCACCATGCCCAGCTCATCTCACTTTTTCATCATTACTATTAAAAATATATTTTAAAAAATGTTAGGGCCCATTATATAGTTCTTAACCCTGCTTGCTAGTCAATACAAACTGTTCTTTAAGTTACTACCATATTTGTAAGTAACTGTTTGCATATATCAACCACTCCAACAAGTTTGCTTAAATTAGTTCAAAAAGTTGCAAGGACTGAATAATCAAGAAACACTTTGAAAAAATGTATATAATTTTTGAAAGTAAAATACTGAAGAATTGTATGTAGGGTATATGAGAGAGAGGGAGAGGGAAAGGAAGAGGGAGAGAGAGAAGAAGAAGAGCCAGGGGTAAGAGAGAGGGGGGAAAGAAAGAGGATCACAGTCTGTAGTGCAGGCTCACTGGAGCTCAATCTGTAGCGCTTGCTAGTTGCAAATACAAAACTATTCCTCTACCTCAGAAGAAATACTGGGATTATAGGCATGAGTCACTATGCCCAACTCATGAGGAATAATCTTCGTATTTAAATATCTCTGTATAATAAGGAAAAGAAAAACAGATTCTCAGCAGAAGATATGTCACAAACACTGCAAACCTAGCACTCCATGAGCTGAAGGGGATTATGAGTTCTAAGAGAGCTTCGGCTACAAAGTGAGACCTTAGGAACAAAAGAAAATTGTTTCAGGATATTTGATCACACTATGAATCAAGAGATTGTGTTATTTAGTGGAAAAACCTGTTTCTAGTTGTGATCTGACTCAGCCCTGCACACACCTTTAATCCAAGGGCTTTCTGCTTGAACAGGATTAAATAAAGTCAACCATAGGTCAAGAGGCAGAGCTAGGTGACAGGAAGTTAATATAAAATTATTAAGAAAAAGCCATAGAGGATAAGAGGAAGTCAAGAGGATGGATAAAGAGATGCACAGGAAGTAAAAGGGAAGACATTCAATTTGAGAGGTTTTTTTGAGCTGGCATGGGAAAAAGAACACTGCACTTTTGACACTGGCTAAGGAAAACAGTCAACTGGGTGCTTTCTCTGCCTCTCTGAGCTAGCAGTATCTGGCTCCCGAGTCTTTCTTGGTAAAACTGAATTATTGAGATTTTGTTAAAAACAGCACTTGGTGCTCCAATGGGTGGCACAACCACAAGAATACAAAAATTACACCAGCTGCAGACAAACTGAGAAGCCATTAGATTTGATAATACACATGGGAAGTCCTCAGGAAAGAGTTGAGTAGTATTAAAGGAAAGATATTTCCCATGTTAAAGATGGGAAATATTATAATACTGAGGATTAGGACCCCGTATAATGAAGCAGAAAATGAAAAGGTAAATGACTTAACTGAGATTTGCATAATACTGCTTATAATTACTGTCAGTGTGATAATTCATATTTTTCTCATTATTAGCCATAGTGGCTTTTTTGTGATAAATATGAAAAGTGGATTGGTAAAATACAGGTTTTAGAAAGACATATAAATAAAAATAAGAAAAATACACAGACAGAGAAATTTAGACAAGAACCTACCTCCCCACTGCATGATGAAACTAAAGAGGGGTGGCCCAAGGTTGTTAGAAACCAACCTTAGTTTTCCAGTTACTATACAAGAACTACCAGCAAATGATAGGCACTCCCAAGGTTATGAAGAAGTTAAATAGAGCCCTATAGACATATTAGATTTGAGAAAATTTAAAGAAGCTTTCATATGGTATGCATTCATCCTATGTGAAGCAGATATTAAATTCACGTTCAACACAGAACAGAATCATCACCCAAGACTGGAAAGATTTGGCAACAGTAACATCAGAAGCTGGTCCACAGTTACAATGGTGAACATGATGAAAAGAGGAAGCTAGGGCTATAGAACAATGAAATAGGGCTAGAGGTATTGATATTTCCCAAGATCAGTTTGTACGTGAAGGTCAATATGCTGAGTTACAAAGGCAGCTTGAATTTGATGATCACACTTTGGTACTACATCATTTAGCATCTTTAAATACCTGGGATAAAGCTGAAGAATCAGGAAAGAGGTCTGAGTCATTTACTAAAATTATACAAGGTCCAAAGGAAGCCTTCACAATTTTTTGCAAAGAGTGACTTCAGCTGTAAATAGGATAGTATCAGATTCAGGAGTCAGATGAATATTAATTAAATCTCTGGCTTTTGAAAATGCTAATTCAGAATGCAAAAGGGTGACTAGGCCTTTAAAGACAGGATCAGCACAAATAGAGGATTGTATTAGAGTTATGGCTGATACTGGACCTCATGTTTATGATGCTACTTTCAAAGGAGAAGTATTTTCTAAAAGTTTTAAGAAAAGCAAAACGGCCGATGTTTTAATTGTGGTAAGCAAGTTCACTTAAAAAGGGACTATAGGCAAGGCACTCCTAGAAACAATGGTTTTTCTAGATATAAGCCAAAAAGAAGGCCCCTGTCCTTCTGGAGTATGCAGAAGGTATGGCAAAGGCCGACATTAAACAAATGAGTGCAGATCAACCAGGGATAGGCCTGGTAACCCTTTGTTATTGGGAAATTCCCTAGGGATGCTGTCACAGGCCCTGATATTAAATTTGATTCAATTGTTACCTGTCAGCATCAGAGACACTCCTCCACTGAGGAATTAAAAGATGTCTGTTGTTAAACACGACACTACTTTGGATATAATCAAGAACAGAACAGCTTCAGTAGATAAAACAAAAAATTCAGGAGAGACCAGAAAAAAAGTATTTTGGCAAACTTCTATAAATGATCAGAGACCAAAGCTGAAAATACAAATAAATGGCATTGAAATTGAAGGTTTAATAGACACAAGAACAGATGTAACAATAATTTCATCAAAATCTTGGCATTTAGATTGGCCTCTTTGGGAGGTAAATATTCTGATTCTAAGGACTGGAACTTTATCTCAGTTAAAACAAAGTTCAAGATGGGTCAAGTGTTTAGGGCCAGAAGGGCAAATAGAAAATTAAAGTCACATGTGGCTAATATAGCCATGAATTTATGGAGACATGATTTGTTACAGAAATAGAAAACATAGATTAACATTCCTCCAATCTCAGAAATAAACCACAAAATAAAGAATGCTTCTGAGAGAAATATTAAAAGGTATTATCAAGAAGAGTCACAGACCAGTCAGCTTGTACATAAGCAGGACACAACAGCTGTTGGTCTTTCAAAGGTACCAACCACCCTACCTTTAAAATGGTTAACTGACAAACCTGTGTGGGTAGAACAATGGCCTTTGACACTGGAAAAATTACAGATACTAGGACAGCTGGTAAAAGTCCTAAATGTTCAAGATATTGAAGAATCAATCAGTCCTGGAATTCTCCTTTATTTGTTATTAAAAAGAAATCTGGAGAAAATAGAGAATGTTTTCAGATCTAAGAGCTATAAATAAGGTGATTTAGCCAATGGGCTCTTTACAACCTGGAATTCCTTTTCCTTCTTTATTACCTAAGGGGTGGTCTATTATAGTGATTGATTTAAAAGACTGCTTTTTCACTATACGTTTACAAGAATAGGATAAAGAAAAATCTGCCTTCACAGCTCCTACTTATAATAATGCTCAACTTGTTAAAAGATATCAGTTGAAAGTTCTTCCTCAAGGAATGTTAAACAGTCCCTCCTTGTATCAATATTTTGTACAACAGCCATTAGAAATAGTTTGTAAATACTTTCCTCAATCTAAAACTTATAATTTTATGGATGATGTCTTACTGGCTGATTCAAATGCAGATATCTTAGAAAAAAATGTTTGATTAAATAAAGAGAATTTTGCCTTGTTGGGGATTATAAATCACTCCTGAAGAAATGCAAAGAGGAGATTCTATCAATTATCTAGGATATAAGACAGGTTTACAGAAATTTTGACCACAGAAAGCACAAATCAGGAGAGATAAATTACAAAGTCTTAATGAATTTTCAAAATTGCTGGGAGATATTAACTGGCTACAGTCCACAAATGGATTAACTAACCAAGAGCTATGTAATTTATTTCAAACCTTACAATGTGATAGGACTTAAATAGTCTTAAAAAATTATCAGATGAGACTGAGTGAAACTTGGCTCTGGAAAAAAAAGAAATCACAGGATGCAAATGTGACCAGGATGTGGTAGTGGAGGGGCCTGTGCCTTCCTGAACTAAGGAAATAAATCAGTTTTCTAAACCATTCACTCCTCCTCCAAGAGAGACACCTATTGAACTGTAGGGAGTGGCAGAATGGTCACAACATTTGCCAACACATGGCTTACTGATAGTTCATCAACCACTGATGGAACCAAAGCTAATGGAAATAGGCAGCCTATAGACCGGGGGATGGAATGGCAAATACTGAGGAAGGAAAATCAGCACAGCACTATTGGCGATAAGACAAACAACTAGGAAGGCAAAAGGAAAATCTCCATCTTCTCCAATTCATGATGCATGTGCAATGGTATAGCATATGGTCATCAAAATGGAAAATCACTACCTGGCAGAGAAATGGCAAATATATCTGCTCATGGCAGGCATGAATGAAAATGACAAAACCTAGCAAAACTTAGCAAAGACATCAAATTTTATGTCGTCCATACAGGCAAGACAGACAAAAATGCCTGAAAATAATGAAATAGTGGATAAATTGGCATCATGTGTAATTAAGACTAGAATATTAAAATTTGCCAGGGAACAAATTCAGAATAAATCAGCAAAAATTACAGAAAAATACACATTCAAAAAATTTGAACTTAGTTTACCCCTCACACTAAAAAAATAAGGGGAAATGGAGAACTAAATTAAACCAGGACAAACCTATGAGAATAATAGTACTAGAATAATAATACTGTAATTACACCTTGAACTTATATAAAGAAAAAGGCGAATATAGCTATATTTATTCTCACATATGAAGGTATATTTAGTTTCAAATTTTCAAATTTAAAAATAATTGTTTAAAATTTCAATTGAAAGATAATACTTTTTCTGTTGTCAAAAACATTTGCCTGAGGCTAGAGATAACCTGCTAAAAAAAAGATTGGATTGTCCCAGAGTTAGGGTTGGAGTAGGGTTTTGTTTTTAACTTCCCAGGAGAATAAAAGCATCCAATTAAAAAGTCAGGAGACCACTGGACAAGTAAAGATCTGAAGAAAAAAGGTGGATCATCAAGAGAAAATGTTCCACAACAAAGAGTAAATTGGCCAAGTGGTATCACCCACCTCCAGCTGACCAATCTGAAATCTCAGCTTGGAGCCTCAGACTAGCACTGGCATCCATGCCACCATCTTGCCCAGGTGACTGCCCCTTCCTGTGGGACAACCACCTGGCTGATACTGGTTGGGGACAGAACACTTGGGTGGGGCTCCCCTCTTTCTTCCTACCATGTGGCTGGCACATGGCAGATTCCCAAATGCTTGTCTCTGCTGCCCTCAATAGACATAAGTGACAAATGGTCTTTATGTGGTCCCAATTCAGTTAAAAAATAAATGCTTTGGGATTAGAACATGGCTCTCTCCTTCTCTAAACCCACGTATGCTTTGTTAAAGGAAAATCCAAACTCTCTGTCTCACATCAGAAGAGCTACCTGGTATGGGACAGAGGAAAACAAAAAATTAGGAACTTTTTAAAAAAAATTCTTTCTTTTATTTTCTTTTTTAAAGACTTGTTTATTATTTGTATGGTATTCTGCCTCCATTTTTTGCCTGCAGGCAAAAAGGGGGTACCAGATCTTATTGTAGATGGCTATGAGCCACCATGTAGTTGCTGGAACAGCAGTGCTCTTAACTTCTGTGCCATCTCTACAGCCCCAATTAGGGACTAATCTATTTATACTAATCTCATAATCTTTTGGTTTTCATTTGACTCTGTAAAAATTTTCTGAAGGTATAAATATTATCTCAAAATCTGTTAAGATTATTATGTATATATAAAGCTTCTGTTTAAATCTGAAGCAGGTAACTAGAAACAAAGTTTGTAGGCTTGTGTTCTCAAACCTTTTAGCAATCTTCTGAATATGGCACTTCAAATGTTTAAGTTTTCTACAGTAAACAGTGACATCCCTAATAATAGCCCTGAAGTCTCCAAGAAGATGATGGGACCCTGCAACGATAAATCCATCTGACTGTGGTAACGCTAACCACTGGGAAAAACTGTCCCACGCCTCTTCTGCTACCAGGTTCTATGCAAACAGTAGACACCTTTGGATTGACTGCTGTGTTCTGCCTTGCCAAAATTGCCACCAAGCTGACAAACACCACCAAAAGATCAGTTTAGGACTATAAACTGCTCAGGACGTTCAAATTGCAAAGTTCATGGGAGACTGACACAGACATTTTACAGAACTTTGAACTCAAAAATACTTAATCCCAAGACTGCCAGATACAACCATGCTGACACTGTGGAAAGCTTGTCAGAAAAAGCTTTCTTGTTTTAAATAGTTTTACCGTGTTAAGAGTTAAAACCTTTCCTTTTTGTTTAAACAAAAAAAGGGGAAATGTTGCAAGATATCTGACTATACTGTAAACCCTGAGATTGTGTTATTTACTGGAAAAAACCTGCTTTTAGTTGTGGTATGGCTCAGCCCTAGCACACACCTATAAGGCAAGAGCTTTCTGCTTGAATATTATAAACAGGATTAAATAAAGTCAACTATAGGTCAAGAGGCGAAGCAAGCAACCAGCTGAAAGGAAGTTAACAGGATTATTAAGAAGAAAAATCATAGAGAGTAAGAGGAAGTCAGGAGGAAGGACATAGATGGAAGTAGAAGGGAGAGATATTCAGCATGAGGGTTTTTGAGCCCGCATGGAAGAAGGAGCATTGAGGAAGGTCAGCTGGGTGCTTTCTCTGCCTCTCTGAACTAACAGGCTTTTACCCAGCATCTGGCTCCAGAGTCTTTATTGGTAAAATAAAAAAAAAAAAAAAGAGATGTGTCTCCCCAAAATCCCTACTAGACATCTATACTGCATATTTTCAGAAATAAAACTTTGAGTTGGGCATGGTAGCAAATGCCTTTAATGCTAATATTGAAGAGTGAGGCCAGAGGAGTCTGGGCTATATGATATCAGTCAAGCCAGCCATACATAGCAAAAGCCTGTTTCAAACAAACACCAGAAACAAAATTTAACTTGATCCTGAAAGAATTCTGATGTGGGTAAAAGAATTTACTGCTAAATATCTGCAGCAGAATTCCCCCAAAGCTCCCCTTAGGTGTCACTCTCTCTGGAGCTCCAGAAATGCAAGCACAAGTGACAAATTATGGCTGACTGCCTGAATACTCACATTTAGAATTTCAAATAACTTCTTCTTTTTCGCTGGGTCTTCTACCCACAGGATGATCTGCCGCACACTGGAGCAGGGCAGGTTCTTGTCCCCAGTGATAATCCTCACAGGGTTATGTAGAAGCTGCTCTGCCAGTTGCTCTATGCTGCTTGGAACCGTGGCAGAAACCAAGATGGTCTGACAATCACTAGGAGTGTTTTCCAACACGTCAAGCACTTGCTGTTGAAAGCCCATCTTCAACATGGTATCAGCCTAAAACAAAGGCATTCTAAAGTCAGGCTTACTCAGCACTGAAAGCCAGCACCACCCAGGATAAGACTGCATAATTAAGAACAGAAAGAAAAAAAAAAACCACAGAAAAATACATCACACTATCAAAGGATCAATAAAGAATGTTTATGTAAAATTATAAACCATATAACTTAATGATATGGATTATTATTATTAATATTTATAAAATAGACATCCTACATACTTATCATAGGGCACTTTTAAATTATGGTAACATAACACTGTGCCATTATGAAAAATGACCAGAAAGCTCTTTACTGGGTAATAAATGATTGCTCAGAGAAAAGAAATGAACACTATGTAACACAATACTAGTTATAAGACAATGTAAGTATATACATATACACACACAAGAAATTAATTAATTGAAGGAATAATTTATATGGTAATTCCAGGACTTGGGACACTAAGGCAGGAGGACTGAGTTCAAGGCCAGACTGAACTACAGAGTGAAAAAAAACCTGGAAAACTGAATGGCTACCACAGAGAGGCCTAGAGAGCTGTTGTGTGTACAGGGCTGGGGTGCTCACTACACTTTTCTTTTTCAATGCTGAGAATTTAACCCATGTCTTTGCACATGCTAGTGTTCCACTATTGAATCACATCTGTTGGCTTTGAATTTTAGAGACAGAATCTTGATATGCAGGCTTGAACTCATGATCTTCCTGCCTTAGCTTTCCAAGTACTGGGTTTAAAGGCATGTGCCACTATGGCCGTTAGGGCTCAATTTTTGTTTTCCAAAGTTTTATTTCCTTCTATTCATGGATATGTCTTATATAATAAAAGTATTTTATATTTAAAAATTAACATTAGGCATTGCTATGGTTTAAATGCTGACTATGGTCCAAATATTGTCATTTCTCCAAAATTTACTAAAACTTTACCACTAACATTCACTGTGTGTCCTCTGTCACAATCTTCCCTCCAGAAGTATCTTCACTGAAATCTGAGCATAAGCATCACCACCCCAGAGAAACTCTGTTTACCAACCTAAGTAAACCGTTAGGTTTGTCCCTGCCGTATTGCCGTGGATAGATACACACTTGCCACAGCTTCATGGGGCAGAGCTCATAAGCATTCCTTTCCACTACATCCACTAAACGAACAACAACTGGCATGTCAAAATAAATGATGGACAGCCTTAACTCTAAGCACCAAATAAGACCTAATGTTGTACAGCAACATCTCAGTGTCCCAAGCCTCTCAAAATCTAGGAGTTTTTCAAGATCCCTGAGCTGCTGAATCAGACTACCCAAGTGAGAAGGCCAGTCTAGCTAACATTCACTGGGCACATGAGGTGGTTCCATGTTTTTGTTTGTTTGCTGTTGTTTCCTTTTATTTGGAAATATGGTTTCCAGGTAGCCCAGGCCGGCTTTGAATTCATGTACTTTAGGTGTGTGAGTAGTTTGCCTGCGTGCCTGTCCATGCTCTATGTGCATGCCTGGTACCTGTGGAGCTAAGGAAAGGTGTTGAATCCCCTGAAACTGGAGTTGGAAATGGTTTTTGGGTGCTGGAAACCAAACCCAGGTCCTCGGTAAGAGTAGCAAGTGCTCTTAACTATTGAGCCATCTCTCTAGTGCCCTCAGACTGGCTTTGAGCCCCACACCCACATCCAGCACCAGCCTAATAAGTGCTGGGGTTATAGGCCAACACGTACTCTCTGTTCCCCAGACTGTTTTTATCACTAGGCCAGGCCAGGCAGACCTGCGCTTGATGGCTGTGAGGCAGCCAACGACAGTACAGAGACAATACAGAGACAGTACACTCTGTGCATAGTCCAATAGAGCAGAAGGAAGGAGACATCAGCCCGGACCCTCAGGGACAGGGGTCAGCTTCTGAGTCTCTTATTCTGAAGCAGTGAAGAAGGAACGAGATGGGGGAGGGGAGAATTCTAGCCAAAGGGAAGGCCTGACAAGTGACCCAGATAATGACTTGGAGCAGAGGAACAGCAAGAAATGATGTGAGTCCTGGCCTCCTCCTGCAACACTGGCATCCATCCGCCTTTAGAGACATCTTCCACTCTCAGTTCCTGTATCAGACCACTGTGCTGACTCAGTGCCAACTCCATGTGTCCGGCCCTCAGCCTCAGCTCTCACTGCTCACTTCCCCCCACCCTTCTCCTGGAGAACAGACAACACATAAACTCCAAAGCACTCTTCCTGTAAGGAGAAAATGGTTCCCCTTTGTCTATTGTTCACAGGAAGGCCAAACTCAGAGAGGATTGTGGGACCCAGCATTTACTTCTCACCCTTTTCTAACATTAAAGGTACAGCTATAATTGTGGAGTCAGCGCTCCAGCTGCCGTCTTCTTCCACCTATGCAGTCATCCGAAGGCTCATAACTGATGACTTTACAGCAACTCTCAGACTAAACCCTTCAGTCCCAACGTCTCCACCCTGCCATTGACCCCTTCACGCCTTGGCTGGTTTGCTGGCTGCTTGGTCTTTGAGTCCTTCTTCTTTAATTTCTCTTTTACTGGGCAGGGGACTACCCTCCCTAAACCACTACTTTTACCCTGCTACGCCCAGCTCGTAATTTAGAAAGCCTCATTGTCTCCCACATCAAATCCAGAAGCTTCTGCCTCCCTCTCAGGGCAATCTATAATTTGACTCCACCCTAGCTACCCAAATCTACTTTCTACTATTTCTCAGGAAGAATTCTTTCAAACTCGTTGGTCTCCTTCCCTCCCCTCCACAGAGACTTGGGCTCTTTCCGACTCTGCTTATCTCTTCATTGGGATATCCGACCTGTCCTCTGGGTTTTAAATTTGTCCCCCATCTTCTTAGGAGCAGTTCAAATTCCATTACTATTTTTAATAGTCAAAGCACTAACTCTCTAAATTCTACTCCTGACCTTAATTGTCCTGGACAATTAGCGTATAGTATACATAATACAACATCTTATTTTATAGCGGTTTCCCCTATAAGTGACCAACTATTGCTCAAAAGACAAATTCCAGCCTGTACCTGTTTTGTGGAAACCAGCTACATCCAGTCACTCTTCTCTTCTCTTCTAACGTATTTTTAATGGTGCAACAGACAGAACAAACACTTTGCAAATGTCAGGCAAGTATTTTACAATCCAGTTACTCTTTTTTTAAAGATTTGTTTTTAGTTTATGTGTATTGTGTTTGTCTGCATGTGTGAACGTGTACCTACTTGTGCCTGGTGCCTGTCAGCTCTCCTGGGACAGAGTATAGACAGCTGAGAGCTACTGTGTGGGTACTGGGAATCAAATCTGGGTCCTCTGCAAGTGCAGCAGGTCCTCTTAATCACAGAGCCATAGCAGGAAGTGGTTAAAAAAAAGTTCAAACTCTAGTCTTGAGGGCCTTGCCTGTATCATCTTCACATATCTGAGAGTATCCCCTGTTGTTTACTGGGACAAGGGCACACAGGATGTGATTACTGGTCAGAGCCTGGCATGGCACTTTTACCACTGCTACAAAATAACCAAACCTCTGCTGTCACTGCTGGTAGGGAACACGAAGGAAAATGTGTCCTGGATGCAGGGGTGGCAAAAGCTCAGTTCTCATGTTTGTCTGTATGATGTTATAGGTCTGGCAGGATGGCTCAGCATAAAGGCACTCGCAGCAAAGCCTGATGAGCTGAGTTCAATCCCTGGAACCATGATAATGGAAGGAAGGACCCAACTTCTAAACGTTGTCTCTGACTTCCACACAGGTGTCATGGATGCATGTTCCTGTGTACCTATCCATGCACATGTGCACACACAACAACAACAATAATCAAAAATTAAATAAAAAACATAGGGCTGACAAGATGGCTCAGCGGTAAAGGTGCTTGCTGTCACCCTGAAAACCTGAGTTTAATCCTGGAACCACATGTGCAGGAAAGAACCAATTTCCACAAGCTGTCCTCTAACCTTCACACTTACACATGGCAAGTGCATGAATACATTTACACAATAACAAATAAATGAAAGTTCTCTATCTATATACATACACACATATATGCACATATAATAAAATAATGCACTTACTTCATTGTATACTTCAGAGCTATAAAATGCTTCTCAGATATATTAACAACAACAAAAATTTCACAACCATTATACCAATGCCCAGAAAAAAAAGAACTACTATTCAAATACCATTTAAATAACCACTATTAGTACAGCTCCTGTAAATAATAATAATTATTGTCACTGATTATTTTAAGCATCAGGAAGCATAAAATATTTTAAAAACCAATCTCTGTGAGAGTGGAGAGGTAGCTCAGTGGCTGAATGCTTGTGTATCATGCAGAAGGTCCCAGGGCCAATTCCCAGAACTGCAAAACAAAACAAAATACAGCAAAAGCCCACAGCCTTATCATGGAGCTTACAGTGACCACTGAATTTGAGTGTTCTTCACTAGGAAAGATAGCTTTGGTTTAACAGAGGGAATCGTGCCTTGGTTTAGCTGCAGTGTACACAGGAGTCAGCTTAAGACCCAGGACAGTAAATTTTACAAGTCCCTGGATTTTTTTTCCATTCACAGAAAATATTCTGAATAAACAATGACATTACATAGCTACAATATACTTTTAAATAAATTATCCAAAATCAAGTGACTGCTTTTTAACGTGTATGTATAGTGTATGTGTAGTGTATGTGTGCTCACAAGTGTGCACACACGTGTCCATACGCATGTGAAGGCTGCAGGGCAATAGAGACCATCTTTCTCAGTCACTTTCCATTTCATGTTATACACACACACATGCACATTCATTTCTCTATTTATGTGTCTGTGCATGACTGTGTGTAAGGGTGTGTATGTATGGAGGTCAGAGGACAACCTTGGTACCAGATCCTCACCTTCCACCTTCCCTTGTCTGAGGAAGGGACTCTATTACTGGTCATTGCTGTTAGTGCATCTGGTTTCCAGAGATCTGAACTCAGATCATCAGGCTTGAACGCCAAATGCTCTTAGCCCCTGGGCCATCTTCCCAGACACCTGCCTTATTGTTTGAGACAAACTGAGCCCAGAGCTCGCTGATTGGCTACACAGGCTGGCAGTGAGCTCCAAATCCCCTGTCATCCTCTACCTAGCACTGTGGTTTCAGACATGTACCTCCATGCCCAGACCTGGCCTGAGCTCAGGTCTGCATGCTTGTGAAGCAGACACTTTTTGCACGGAGCCATCGCCCCAACTGCCTGACTAATAGTCTTTAACATGACTACTTACTTCATCTACGACCACAATTTTTATGGCACCAAGTGATACAGAGCTCTGTTTTATTATATCCAGAAGTCGCCCAGGGGTTGCTATGATAACCTGAATAAAAAGAACAAAGGCAAATTTAAAATTAGATAACATTTATTCATTTATTCACTCTTTTTTTTCTGTTGAGATAGGGTTTTACTATGTATCCCAGCCTGCCTTGAACTTGTAACCCTCCTGCCTCCTGAATGCTGGGATTGTAGGTGTGCACTATCACACCTGGCCTTTCTATTTGTACTGAGTAGCTAATATATGCTAGATACTGTGTAAAGTACCACAATGAATAAGACATATACAGTTTCTGCTCTCAAATAATCTGTAGTCTATAGGAAGAAATGAATGAAATAAATGCTATTGTGATACATATGATACACAATAAATGGAGAAGTCTGTCCAGTACAGAAAACATAAAGATGAGCCTAAAGGACCAATGGGGGAAGGTGAGTGGCTAAAATACAACAACAAAAGTACACCTGTGTAGCCTCTGAGGTGGGTCTCTACTAAGGGATCCCTGAGAAAGGCATGCTTCCTGCACTGGCCAAGGAAAAAATAAGGCAAACATGGACCTCCATAAGCAGAGAGTAGATAGCAGATAGTAAGAGCTCAGAGATATGATCTAAAGCCACAGACACAAGCTCAAGGTTCTACTGGTCAAATCAGGGCCAAACCAAATCACAGTCTTTAAACAAAACAGGAAACCTGATTCCATACTGATGAGCACAAGACATTTGTGTACCCCAAAGTGCTTCTCCCAAAATATTTACTAAATACAAAAGGAAAAAATAAATTTTAACAGTTGAAAGACAAGTGAACAGCCAGCAAGGTAGTGGTGCCGCTGAGTGGTGGGGTACTGCCCTAGCATTCATGAGACTTGGAGTTCCACCCTAGCGTCTCAAGGAAGAAGAGAGTAAAAGTTAGCCACCAAAAGGGATGCAGTGAAAAGAACACAGTCATATTTCTCTTTAAAGGGGTTTGAAATCTGGGCATGGTAGAGCACAATCTGTCACTATAGTCCTTCAGAGGCTGATGCAGGACTGTCATAAGTCTGAGGCTAAGCGGGAGAGAAAGGTGGGGGTGGAGGGGGGACAGGGTGGGGGCTGGGAAGCTGGCTCAGCTGTATACACACAAGGACCTGAGCTCCAGGCCTCAGCACCCACAGAAGCTGGCTATGGCTGCATGTGTGCGTGACAGCCCAGCACTGTAGAACTCCCGCCTCAGTAAGAGAACCTGTCTCATGACAGAGCGGGATCCCAGTGTTCTCCCCTGACCGCTATAAGTACACAGGAGCACACACCTGAACACACATGTGCACATACACCACACATGTACTATACACGTACAAAATTTTTCAAAAGAACAGAATGAAAGGATGGCTTAGTGGCTAGAAGCACTTGTTGTTCCTAGCACCCACATGATGGCTCACAATCATCTGTAACAACAGGCATGCACCAAGCATGCACATGGTACATATACATACATGCAGGCAAACCACTCATGCATATTTTTAAAAATGTAAAAGAACAATAAGAGAAATCTCAGCAACAATAAAAAGAAGTGACTTGTAAATCTTAGCAGTGCTAAAATGATAGAAAAACCATAAAGACTAAAGAACCACCACAAACTGAAGATGATAGAGACGTACTGTCTTAGTTTCTTTTCCTTTTGCTGTAATGAAATAGCTCAACAAAACAGCCAAAAGGATAAAAGGGTTGTTCTGGGTCACAATTCAAGGTATAGTCCAATTGTGGTGGGGAAGTAAAAAACTTGGAACAGATGCTCACAAGCACATCACAATCAGAAAGCAGAGAGAGCTAACCGCATGATCAGCTTGCTTTTTTCAATTTTATACAGTCCAGGATCCCCTACCCAGGTCATGGTTAAACTACACTTAAGATGGATCTTCCCACATTAATAAATATAGTCAGAATAATCCACCCGGGGCATGCCTGAAGGCCCATCTCTCAGGTGACCCAAGACCCTGTCAAGTTTGCAGCACTAACCATCCCACACACCATCCAAATAGAGTACATGATCCGGATGTACCTACGTTTTTAATGCTTATTTTTTGAGATAGGCTTTTACTCTGTAGCCCAGGATGGCCTTAACTTTAATCTTCCTCTCCTTTTTAATGGCTTCTCAAAAGCCGCTGTACTAGAGTTAGAGGTGCAGCCACTACATGCAGCTTCTTGTGCAGGGGATCAGGCATAGGATGGGGGTGTGTGTGTGAGGAGGTGGAATTATTAAAACGTGAGTGGCCTCCAAAGAGCGGGTGACACATTAGTTTCTGATCTATACTAATGTGTCAGTGTTAACTTCCTGAATCTGTAATTGCATTATGGACATGCAGAATAATGCCCTGGGTTATAGGAATCACATTCTGAAGTATATGGGAGTGATGGGGCATCAAGTCAGAAACTTCCAAGAAGCCTGGGAGAAAAAAGTTTCTTACACTGCACTGGTTTATTTCATTCAAGTTGAAGATTTTTTTTAAATGTATGAAAAAACTGTATCCAGACTTATAAATGAATAAATGTTGAAAACTAAAGACTAGCAACAATGTATTAGCTTTTTTCCCCTAAGAATGAAAATGCAGCCAGCAAGATGGACCAAGCTCAGCACTCAGAAGGCTGAGGCAGATGCTCTTAACCTGGAGGCCAGCAATCATACAAGAGCTTGTCTTGAAAAAACTGAAAGAAGAATAAAAGGTGAGCTACTTAAAGGTGATCAGGACTGCACTTACATGTCTCCATGCACTCTAATGTTCCAGTGCTGGGCAAGAAAAATAGGTCAGATGCTTGTAGGAGACTCTAGCAAGCTCTACTAACCCAATTCAGTGTTCACAAACTGTTTTAATGGTTTACCTTATAAATATATACTGCGGAACTTAGAATCTTTCACTAGGAAAATATTACCTTTCTCTGTTTTATATAGTAGACATCTACAGTGAAAACCAGTGATTTATTTCCCCACTAATTACCAATTGGCAATGTCTTACAAGTGTATTTTACATGTTTTAAAACTGTCAAACACATATGATGACATCATATGATATGATGTCCTATGAGCAGGACAGTTTTTTTGTTTTGAATACTGCAGTGTTTTCAAACCTGTTGTCCCTTCTCCACACAAGGTTCTTTGGCAGTTCAGCTCCTCCCTTGGAACTTCAGAACCTCCCTGCCATCCCAGAAGCTAGAAAGGTAATATCCAGAATTTCAGGACCAACTGCTGCCTCTAGGCTACAGTCCACCTTTACTGCTCAGGCTCTGTGCCAGCCTTCTCTTAAGCTCAATCGACAAGTATGCACAACCATTTTAACTCAAGAAAACTGGAGTTCACCAAAGCAAAGTCAGTTATCTATGACACTGTTAGCAAGTACCAAAGCTACAACTAGATCACATTACTTTCACATATAAGAAAGCACAGACTACACACTGTGGCCCAGCAAAGGATTAATAGAGTCAGATAAATTGCAATTCTAATTTTGACAATTTTTATTTATTTTGTAAAATCCCAGTTTCTGAGATCTACCTTCTCAACCATGAAAATGGAATATACAAACCTACTTTCAGAGCAAATATGGTTACACGAGACAGGTATATGAGAATACCCAACAGAGTTTAATGTATAACAGACACTCAGTAAGTTGTATTCTATTCTTTTCCTGAATACAATGAAACTTTTGTTTTAGTTTTTTGTTGTTGCTGTTGTTTTTGTTTGTTTGTTTGTTTTGTTTTTGTTTTTTTAAAGACAAAGCCTCATTCTATAGCACATACTGGCCTAGAACTCACTATGTAGCTCAGGCTGACTATAAACTCTCAGCAATACTCCTGCTTCAACCTCGAGTGCTGGGATTGCAGATGTGTATCACTATACCTGGTTATAACATTAACTTTGGAAAAAAATAATTAGTAGGCAAAAAACTAAAAGCTTAAAGAATGCGCGCGCGCGCACACACACACACACACACGGGTTCCTCTGTTGCTTTAACCTCCTCCCACCCAGGTGCTTACCTTCACGTGCTGTCGTAAGCGATGCAGCTGTGGGGGTAAGGGCAAACCCCCCACAAGAAGCACTGTCTTCATGCGTGGCAGGCCACTCATCAGTTCTTTGGCTTGCCTCTCTATCTGAATGGCTAATTCTCTTGTTGGTGTGAGAATGAGTGCAGATGGCGTTTTATCCTGCCAAGAGGAGAAGAAACAACTTACAAACCCCAATAATGAATTCCTGCTTATATGAACTATGACACCATCACAGTGACACCATCAGCCCCAGATATGAGCCTTTTGCTCGCCACATGCAGAGTTTTCCTCCAAAAATTATCAGAACTTGAGCCCATTTCTTATACAACTCATACAACTAAAGATCAAAAGGGGGGAAGGCATACACAGTAAGCAAAGTGAGAAAGAGTACTAAAATCTCTAGCACTCCTCTTGCAAGGACGACTCCCCTGGTCACCATGAAGACACCCGGAAGCTCGGCACTTTGCTTCCTGGATTCTTCCCTCTCCACTCTCACACACTGATATCTTTCTTTGGCCAAAGAACTTAAGGGCTTCGTGAGAGGCACCCACAGCCTAGCTTCTCCCTGAGCTCTATTTAATCACCCTGTGTTTGAGCTGTGCTTTAGACATCCAGCACTTTGCCCTCACACTAGCCTCTATTGCTCTTTCTTCTATTTCCTCTCTGCCTCCACTTCGTGTCACATGCACAGCCCACAAGCTTACTAGGACAGGCTGAGCAGCCTCAGTCTACAAGTCTGAAAAAAAAAAAAAAAAGGCCCTTTAATAGCAAGACTTTTGAGCACCAACACAATGTTGAAAAGTTTCAGATCCTGGGGCTCAGTGGTTAAGAGCACTGCCTTCTCTTTCAGAGGACCCAGGTGTGATTGCCAGCACTCCCATGGCAGCTCATAACCTTCATAACCTTCTACAGTTATGGAAGATCCGATTCCTGTCTGGCCTCCACAGGCACAAGGCACACATGTGGTACACTGACATATATGCAGGAAAACACCCATACACTTCAATAAAATTATAATTCTTTTAAAATGTCTCAGGTTCTGGCTGGGCAGTGGTGGAGCATACCTGTAATCCCAGCAGCTGAAGGCAAAGGCAGGTGGATCTCCATGAGCTCAAGGCCAGCCTGGTCTACAGAGCAAGTCCAGGACAGCCAAGGCTACGCTGAGAAACCCTGTCTTTAAAAACCAAAAATTATGTTTCAGATTCTGGAGCACTTTGTATTTTGGATTTCTGAATTAGGGATGCTCAACTAGTAGTCTATGCAAATATTCTAAAATTGGAAAAAGTCCTAAACCATCTCAGATGATGATACTCGGCGTATACTAAGAAAACAAATATGCAGCGTCTGTGAAACTGTGTGAATATGCTTTATACACCACAAACTAACAACGAAGTTAGTATTTCTCGTTTCATTTTGCTCGAGACAGGCTCTTACTATGCTGCCTAGGCTGTCTAGACCCCAGTGCTCCTGTCTCATCTTGTGGAGTGCTGGGATCACAGGCCTGTGCCACCTGGCCCAGCAGTACTATTTAAAGATGAACCACAGGTCACACTTAAGAATATACTTTGATATAGTGTAAGAAGCATAACTTTAATATACACTATCAGTTTCTCCAAAACCCAAGAGGCTTAGCTGACATAAACTGCAGCTCACGCATCTGGTAAACAGGGTTTTTTCCTGCAGATCAAAACTTTATGTTCTTTTATAGAAAACCTGCTAAAAATAAAATGTTTTGTAAGGAAATTAATTTTTATACCTTCCAGGAAGAGATCTTTGGCTCAACACAATAAAAAGAATATTCTTTGATATTATGTCTCACATACAAAACAGACGCAAAAATCACCAGGCGCATCAATGACTTGATTTACAACTGCTGAGCTGCAGTTTGTAAATTTATTAGTTACAATGAAACTGGGTAAATACTGCATCTGTTTCTGAGACAAATATATGTCAGATCAGTAAATTACCTCAAATAGAGCTCGGATGATAACAGGCAGGAGAAAAGCAGCTGTTTTTCCTGAGCCAGTGTCTGCACTGGCCAGAATATCTCTTCCCAGAAGCCCTACAGGAATCATCTGCATCTGGATGGGAGTTGGCACTTCATAGCCTGATTTCTTCAAGTTCTGATTTAAGGTCTCAGGGAAGCCACAGTGCTCAAAGTCAATAATGGGTCTGGCAACTTCTTGTCCTTGAACTGAGATTCCTAGCTGCTGTTTAAGGGTTTCAATCTGGTCCTCCCTTAGGGTCACAATAAAGGGGTGCTCTTTGTAGACATAAAAGGCCTCCAGCGAGGACTCTGGCTCGGAACCAGTTCTCTGCGGGCTGCTGGGTTTTAATGATTCTTCCCCTTCCTTAACTTGCAGCAGATGTTTTGCTTTGCACTCCAAGCTACACACGTCTTCATCAGTCTCATCACAGATATACTCTCCGTAGCGACCACAGACAATACAGACGGGCTCCCCAGGCTCTGCCCACCGCTGGGTTTTGGAAAACGACTTTATGGGCTCTTCTGAAGGGTGGCTGTCCTTCACACCCTCGGGCAACTGTGGAGAAGGGCTGGGTAAGGAGTTTGATGCACTGCTGGGCCTGTCTACTGTGACAGTTTCTTTAGTAACTGAAGCATGAACCTGAGTATCTCTGTCTTCTTCTAGCTGAAGGCCTTCTGCTTCTGGCTTACTTTTCTTAGTTATGCAGCTTTTGAGGTCATCACTAGAACTCCTCTTGATTTTTAAAGATCTGGGAACAAACATTCTTCAATATTCTGTTGAGGAAATTGCACCATGAGATATATATTTACCCTCAATTAAGCTCACATATTAGTGTCATATGATATTGTATCAGAGAATTTCACCCAAAGCAACAGTGAAGACATCATGTCCCTACTTAAGCCAAACTTTTCTTCCACTTGTCAGTTTCTGGGGGAGGGGATACAGTCCTCTCACACAAGTGGAGGAAACACGGCCTGCAGGGACCCCACAACCCTGCTGTGCACACCACCTATATCTGTTTACTGATCATTTGTACTTACAAGGAGCAGATACCACAGAAATTCTACAGCAAATCCCTCAATTGCATTTTCATAAAAGAAGATACTTCATAATTAGAATCTTAAAAATCAAAATTACAGACAAAACAGGGGAAAATGCTATTATATTTATATAAGTAACAGAGTGCTCATTCTGTGTGTTATTGTTTTTTTTTTTTTCTAACCTTCACAAGCAGGGAAAGTAGGTCACTGCAGTCACTGAAACCTTAAATTCACACACACACACACACACATATACACGTAATATTATTTTTACATTATATACGTATCAGATAGCATAATAAATACATGTGTATCTACGTGTGTGTATTGTTGGAAAAGTACTTAAATGTCATGCTAGC